TTGGTCTTTCCCTGTGGTAATTGATGCATGACATCTTTCTCAACCTCAGCTGGAACGCGGGTACCGGAAGAAAAACATACAATCCATTCTTGTCATCAACATCAACATGATTGAGGAAGCTTTTTACATCTGATCATCTATGGCCCTTTTTTAATACACATCCCTTACTTTTCCTCATCTGAGTTGGTTGTTGATCTATGTGTTTACTTCCACGGTGAGCATCAAACGTCATATCTGCATAATGTTCGAGCCCACCTCTGATATACACTGTAGTTCTAAATTATGCCAGAGACACCGACACCACTACCACCCCACAGCGAGATTTGCCATGCTTCAGGATTATCTCCTCAATTGTCTTGTCGACAGCACATCGGTTACCTGGAATGAGCGACCTGGCAACACTTATTGCACCTCTTTCGAGCAATGTCATGGCACCAGGATGTGAATCTTTAATGTTTACTAAGAATACATCAAGGTAGGTCAGATATAGGGAGTAATTGTGACCAGGTCAGGCATAAGGAACAGGCAGTGCAAGTACAATGGACAGTCATTTTCTTTCACAGACCTGATCAATGAAAGATCAATCCAAACGCAATCAACATACGGCATCAAAAATTGTGCCGTCTTTCCAGGAGATCCTCTTTGAATATCAGCTTTGAAGCTCTCATAATGACTCTACCAACGCCTTCAGATCTTCATTAACCACAACCTCAGCAAGCCTCTCCTTTGTTGGTGATCGAATTAGCTCTAAGAAGATATTCTTTGATTACTCAGCTATACCAACAAGTGCATCATATTTTCCAGTCATTGACAAGAACTCATAAAAAAGGAGCCTTTCTAAGCACTCCACCATTGTCTTGTGACAATGCAGACTCCTGTCACAGTTCTTTCCTGTTATGACATCTTTCATAGACCCAGAAGACATGAGACCAGCTTCCAAGAGGATATCTTCAAGTCCGGATCCTTCCATTTTCTTTCCAAGCATCTTGGAGTATGCACAAATCAAATGGAAAGTGCCAATCAACACAATGTGTTTCTTGTAATTGTATGGATGGCTCCAAATGAGAGGATATGCCTTCATGCACACGCCCAAGTCAAATGTTGTTATGACATAGTCTTGGCCAACCTGGCGGCTTGCTTCTTCTGCAGGTCTCGGGCACTCTTGGATTGTATCGAATTCTGTTATGGAATATTTTATAACAGGATAGTAGTCTATGGTAGTCACATTTGAAGGCACCTCCCATGTTACTGAGACAAATCCAGCCCAACCTGGAAGCTCTTGACCTGTCTCTTCACTACTTCGGACAAGCATCCACGCAATATCATTTCTGGCACATTGTTTGAATACTTTATATCGGTTGACATAGCAAGATGGAAGAGGACCTTCATGTTCAATAGCCAAGGAACGTTCTTTGGTTCATTTACGTGCTTCTGAGGGTACTGTGCTATTTGAAGATTCAACTGTCTCATTGTTAGAAATCTCCTGCAACATAATCCCATGGGCTGTGTGGACAGAGCCAGAACCACTTAAGCTTGAAATGTATTGGTTGAAATCGTCAACGTCTGAATGGAAGACTGATGGCTCCATGGGATGGCGGACTACCTGTCTAGATAGAATACCGAAAGTCTACTGTAGCGCTTGTGCTATGGCAGATTCAAGCTCAAGTGAAAATTAATAGCTTTCTAAAAGAACAAGGCGATTCATGAATGTGATCAGTTGAGCACTGCGTAAGAGATGTCTCAGAGTCATCCATACAAGAATATGCTTGGACACTTTCCACTTTCCATTTGTGGCTGCCCTACATCTTGCCCACGAGATATGACAAGTCTAGTCACTCTCTGGGATGGTCGAGATGGATTTCCACTCACAAATGGTTCAGAAACTTCTCTAGCTCAGTGCGAATCTGGTCATCTATATACAGGCAATGGCTTCTGCGGTTGAGGGCCAGGTATTTCATCATCTACAATTTAATCTACATATACTGGCAAATGCTTTCTTGTGGGCTACTTCCATTGTTCTCTGTTTAGCTACTTCATCGTACTTGTCACTTCTCCATTAATCTGGTTCTTAGTTCGCCACATATTTCTTCTGACAGTTCTTGTGATATCTTGCTTCTGCAGCAAACAGATAAACTTCCATGATTCTCAAAAGTAGGTTTTCATCACCAACTCTCTTCGCGACATCTACAACATTTTGCCACCCACCAAAATCTTACATTGGTGACTTTCTGTTGTCCAAGAGCTTTTCACTTTGATTGATTTTGGGCCTTCCTGTTTACAAAAGATACAATCAGAATTGAAGATAACTTCATCAATTGACGATCTGGGTGGACGGGATGTTGAAGGTTCTGTGGCATCAGAAAAGATCTCTGACAGTCGATTGAGATTCTTGGTAAAAAGTTGGTATCACTCCCGATGATAACCGTGCACATCTGAAATGTCTTCAAGAATGAGGATGCATGCTTCTTTCGTTGCTAATTGTGTCAAGTTAGTTGAAATTCGTGAAATTGTACCCCGTATACGTTTGATCATTCATTTGTATAAACAACAAACTATTATAGCATACAATGGGATTAATAACCAACTGCTGAATAAGTTGGCTTTGTCTGATCCCCCTCTTCAGACTGATACTATTAAAGGAAACAATGATGTATGTGGTAATATACTGTATTTGATTTAGTTTCATGTTAACAGGCTAGCCCCAATAGTAATTGAAATACTGCTTGTTGAGCTTTTGTTTTTTTAAACAGGAACTTTAATTGAATGTACATTATATATACAGAATGTATTAATCGTAATATGCGGGGGGAGGGGGGGGGGGAAACAAAATTTGCGGGAAACATCAGATAACATATCAATGAATAATATTACACCAAATTAGGAGGCTAGAAAACTTATTTCATGATAATAGCAGACAAAATACAACTTTTAGGTCATTTTGACAGGTTTTGAGACAGAAATTTGCATATTAAATATATGCAAATTTATGACGTCATTAATTATTGAAGACAATAAAATGAATTAAAATAATTTTGTCTACATGTTGTTGTATGATTTACAAAGATTGTTTATTAATTTGATGGAGGTTAGACTTATATCTGCTGAGAAACAGGGTAAAGTGTAAGCATAATTCACAAACCCTAAGAAAATGTACAATACACGGAAAACTGATATGTTTACATACAAAATAATGGGGGGAAAAAACAATGTCTACATGAGTTGGCTGAATTTTGTTTGCAGGAAACATCAGATAACATATCAATGAATAATTTTACACCAAATTAGGGGGTTTGAAAACTTATTTCATGATAATAGCAGACAAAATACAACTTGCAGGTGATTTTGACAGGTTTTGAGACAGAAATTTGCATATCAAAATATATGCAAATTTATGACGTCATTAATAATTGAAGACAATAAAATAAAATAAAATAATTTTGTCTACCTATTGTTGTATAGTTTACAAAGATTGTTCATAAATTCGGTGGAGATTAGAGTTATATCTGCTGAGAAACAGGGTAAAATGTAAGCACATAATTCACAAACCCTAAGAAAGTGTGCAAAACACGACAAACTGACATTTTTACATATCTTCAAATAAGGAGCAAAAAAACAGTGTCCAAATGAGTTTTTTTCTTGGGAACGTCTTTTTTCTTATATTATGGATCCCAATGAACAAAATGACACCCAAAAAGTAGGATCATAGGGGGGGGGGTGCACGGTAGCCCCCTCTGGCCCACGGACTAATTGTGACGGCATTAAAACATCGTTATTTTCGGCCCGAATCTCTCGCATATCCCAGATGCTATGGAGGTTGTTTTATTTGTATTTTTATAAATCACCCGATTTGTAGTTAACCTAAAACTTGCATGATGGCCATCTGTTAGCATACCAGTTTCTAGTAATACGATATTTGCCATATTTGTGATTTTCTATGAACCCGCACTTTAAGACGGAGGCATGCCATCAGAAAAAAAAATGATGGTGGCTAGTGAGAAGGCAGATAAGGGGATTTGTTGCCTGTCCCTTTATGGTAATGATGATATTCTCGAAGATCTGACTCAATTATTCCATTGTGGTCTGTGGATGGAAGTACAGACCTCCAATGTTTCATGGGTAATGTGTCAGCGTTACTAGCTGGTGGAAATTATATTTCATGTTATGACAATATTGATTGCAATTCAACAAAATCTGTTTATTTACATTCATCAATATTATAAATGACTCAAGTATTAATTGATTGATATTCTTCTCTTTCTTGCAGGGCTTTGTTTTGGTTTCGTCTGATGACAAATAAAACGATGAACTAAAAATACACCACGTCTACACTTTCCTTCATTGGAAGTTTACCCACGACATTATCATCCGACAAAGGAGTACCCTTCTTATTTCAGATGTGATATATTGACGTCATGGCAAACAGCTCAATCTTGTACCCATTGCTCATCGCTTGTCTCCTCGTCAGCTCGTCCTTTCAATTTGTACATCGACGTGATGGAGATTCGCAGAAGATATCCTTAATACTGGACACAGACAAATCTTTCCATGGATGCGATCAGAATCTTGAACTGAAAAAAGCTGCTTGCAGCAATAAAGGCCTGGATACGGTTCCCCAGAATCTTTCTGGGGATACCGAGGTGCTTGACTTGTCTAAGAACAGTCTCACTAAACTCATGAACTCCTCTTTTGAAGTATACCCTCTGATTAACTTTTTGGAAATTTCTTCTAACGATGTAAGAGCGATAGAATCTGCCGCTTTTTACCCCCCCAAGGACTTAATGTACCTGTATCTATATTCTAACCCGCATCTTGTGCTTCCAGCAAAATGCGTCTTTATGATGTCTTCACAGCTTTCCATTCTCGATTTAATGTCAACAAACTTAAAGTCGCTTCCCAATGACACTCTAAAATGGAGTCCACATCTAGATACTGTTGTTCTGTACGAGAACCGGCTCTCCTTCATCAATGTAAGTTCATGTGGCATGGCCGACATTGTGAGCATGGCTTCTAATCAACTAAAACACCTTACGGCGAGAGATTTCACCTTTGTGTGCCACACTGATACTCTAGATCTTAGAGAAAACCCAATCCAATCAGTAGACCCTGATGTGATCGCATCACTACATGTTCGCTCTTTGGTGCTAGGTATCTACCATCTAAGTTACGAGGTGTTGACGAACATCTTCCTCGGAATCTCAAAATCAGACATCGAACAGCTTATAATCCAGGAAGGCTCTGTTGGTGCGTTTCTGAACGGTTTCTTTGATCCACTGCGCGATTTTTCTCTCTCTGTTCTGGGCTTTCACTACAACTACCTGAAAAACCTCCATCCTTTAGTCTTCTCAAATTTAACAAAACTTAAACAATTAATTATCAGTTCTAACCATCTCCCCATAGACAAAATTCAACCAGACTTTTTCGAGGGCATGAAGGCATTAAAGGTACTGATAATCAAAGACAACCAAGTAAAACAAATAAATCCTCAAAATCAGACTTGGACAGTGGACTTATCGGAGTTGGACTTATCCGGTAATCTGATTACAGAAATATCTGAATCTGTATTTCGGGGTTTAGGAAATTTAACTTTCTTAAACATGAGCTATAACAAACAACTTTTTGCCTTTGAGCTGACGGCCTTTTCTGGACTTGACAATATTCAAACCATTGATTTGACCGGAAGTCAATTATATAGAATTCTGGAATTGAACACCCCAATATTAAGATCACTTTTCCTAAACTCTCTTGATCAGTACAGAATCGGGGTTAATATCCGACCAGGAGCCTCCTTTCAACATTTAAAATCCCTTGTTAATTTAGACATGAAAGACTCTCGACTTCACATTGGGAACATATGGAATGGAAACGCGTCTCTTTTTGATAGATTATTGGATCTTAATCATTTGGATTTGAGTAGAAACCCTTTCCGGAGTTTTTTACCGCCAGGGATATTTCGACAACTCTCTGTTTTACAAGGGCTAAATCTAGACTACTGCGATATTTCAAATCTACATCCTTTTGTCTTCTCGGGGTTGGAATCGCTTCAGAAATTGAGTTTGAAAGGAAACAACATCCAACATATTCATGATGATGTATTGTCGGGGTTAGGTCAAGTTAACATTATCGTCTTTGAAGGAAACCAGATCGCGTACTTGGGTGAGCTAATGTTCTCAAATAACTGGAAACTCACTAATCTTTCCTTGGCCGACAACAAATTAACTCGCTTTAATCAAAGGACTTTCAAGTCGATCCTTTCCTCCATTTCTTCACTTGATCTATCCATGAACCCAATTGATTGTAACTGTGATCTAAAGTGGCTTATTGATTGGATTAATAAACCTATGCACCTGATAGACAAGGACAAAACTATCTGTTCGTCAGCATCTCTGGAGCCTCTTCGTGAGAAACCGCTGCTTGATGTTGATCCAAATCAACTCTGTATAATAAATGGTCTATTGTTTCTGATTCCCCTCGCCTCCATTGGCTTGGTTGTAATCAGCGTGCTGCTGTATCACTACCGATGGCAGTTGAGATACAAACTATTTCTCTTAAAACTGGCCGCAGTGGGCTATAACGAGATGCGAGACGCTCGAGACCACAATGACTATGAGTTTGACGTGAACATCATTTTATACGACGATGACGATGTATGGATTCGCGAACAGCTTCGACCGGCTCTCGAAGAACGGCTACCACAGTTTCAGAGGAACGTCTTCGGTGACGAAGACCTTGTATTGGGTATGCATTACTTAGATTCCGTCGATTACGTGGTGAGCCACAGTTACAAGACCATCGTAGTGCTTAGCAGAGCTGCTGTGCAAGACCGCTGGTTCATACTCAAGTTCCGGACGGCCATGGACCACGTCAGTGACACTTTGACTGAATTTGTAGTCGTGGTCTTCCTTGAAGACATCCCAGATGATGAAATGCCATTCTTGGCGAGGTTGTATCTCAATGATGGCAGACCCTATATCCACTGGACTGAGGACGAAAGAGGACAGGAATGTTTCTGGAATGAATTGACCAAAAATCTGACCATTAATCTGAGGACAAATGACTTGATCCCAAACGAGTAGCATAACAGTCATATATGAACCTAGAGAAACGTTTGATGGTTATCAGTGATGAAAGTGTTAGTCGTAGTAATAGTAGTAGTTGTCATAGTATTATTAGTAGAAGTAGATTAATCGCTCTATATTGTTAATTGTTTATTGTTAACTATCATCAGAATTATTATAATCAATATCCCCATCCTCATCATTATTATTGATATTATCATTGTTATTATTATTATTAATATTATCATTATGATTATTATTATCATTGTTAACATCATCATCGTCATCATCATCATCATAACCATCGTCATTGGCATTATTGTTTCTGATGTTCTTGTTCTTGTTTCTGTAAAAAGTTTACATTGGAACTTAAATCTGTAAGAAAATCGGTTAGATAATTGGCAATCATAGAATTAACGTGTATCGTCGTGGTATGATGGTTTTATGACATGGTTGGATGCAAATCTTTATAAGACGTGTATCGCAGTTTCTTTCTATTGTTCAATATTAGAATTACAATCACCATTCGCTGAATAAGAGAATTTGCATTTAAAGGTTTATACTTACTGATTCCCATTACTCTAAGGCTTAGCGCACACTACACGATCTGACTGCGATCCGATTTTGGAAGAATTTACAACAGCATTTTATATGAACATTTCAACATGTAAAATCTTTAATGATTGAGGATTTGTTTAATCATGGAATTAATAGAATCTAACTTTTAGGGGATTTCAAGCTTACTTCTTCAAGAAACAGATCGCAGCCGGATCGTGTAGTGTGCGCCGGTAAGTGTTAGTTAAGTATTTATGGAGAAGTGAATCTCTTCAAGGCAACCAAAAAACCATGTCCATGACACCTCTATAACGACGAACTTTTCTGTAGATTAAGATTTGGAACATAACACGAGAAGCTATGATGATAATTCGAGGTAAAATTAAGGTTATTTTCTCATTGCCTTTTTTTAATACAATATTTTATCTTAAATCTCTCGGTGTCAAGGAAATTTCCTTAAGAATACCGATCTCTGAAAATGTATAAATTCTCGACATCGAACATGACTGTGTGTGGAATAGCTTAATGCTTCATAATTATTTACATTTGTGTACATTTCTGTAAATTATGCCAGTCACAACAAAATGTGAATGTTTTTAATAGCATTTTGAATACTTCACACATTATTATCACATTGCTGTATGATAGTTCACAATTTCATTGTAAAACGCTGTGTCAAAGGAATATTATGGCGTATTACAACCCCGGCCCCCACTCAGGTTTCAAAATGACCGCATGCGTGTTGCCAAAATGTCCTTTTCGTAACAAAAGAAAAAGGTCGAGCCGTATTGACTTTACACACCGGACTTTTGCTGAAAAGGGGGGGGGGGGTGCGGAAAAAGGCTCGTATACAAAATAAAAAGGTCGAGCCGTATTGACTTTACACACCGGACTTTTGCTGAAAAGGGGGGGGGGGGTCGGTTGGAACACGCATATGCGTACCCTAAATAACACTGAGTGGGGTGGGGGGGCCGGGATTACAACAACATTTATGTGTACCTGTGTTTCTCACAGTTTAGTCGAAAAGGTCACAACTATGGATGTACAGAGCGAGAAAGGAGGAGGATCGGGATGGGGTTTCCCCGTCCAATTTGAGCATTTTAAAACATGATAATCAGTGATGAGAAATGCCTGAACCTGAAAAGTAGCAATCTGGTGTCTTTTCGAAACGAACTTACAGAAGATAATTATGGAATGAGAGGAATTTTCTTCTTTCAGCCAGGAAAATTGAGGACATTATTTATACCTGGAAATATGAACATAAAAACGAGTTTAACTGTCAAAGGTTTCCTCCTGAAAGCCCGTGGAAATGTAGTCATACAATCAGCAATGTTTCCCATGCAATAGGAGAGGGGGAGATAGTGAAAACAATTTGTACTCTGTCAAATGTCATTGACATCACCACCCCCTTCTTTTTAGACCTGTTATAGAGCCATGGCGATTTTTTTTTGTTTGACTATTCTAGTCATGCTAGCTACAGTCCGCATTAAAATATGCATTTCTTGATTTCTTGAGCGAAATTCTTCATAGCATTAGTCTGCCATAGTCTGTGCTAGATATTTCAATTTCTCTTTGAAACGATATCTGCTCTTAGGCTGGCGGGAGTGTTCGAAACCTCGAACCCCGCCACCCCGTCCCCTCTAGTTACACGTACATTCATGACTTCGTGAATGTTATCAGAATAACTTGGAAGAGATAGAAACATGATATCAAGAGAAAGGAAAAATGGATTTGGAGATCATTTATGTTCGTTTTGTATACAGGAAATAGAAACATATAAACATTTATTTTTATCCTGCGGGAGCGTTCAAAGGATATGGCAGGCTTTAGTACAACTTTTTGAGTTAGATGAAATTATAGATTTTAGAATGGCGAGATATATTTTTTGGGTTGGCAGGTAGTTTATATAGAATAAATATTTGTAATACTATAATTGGCAACTAGATGAAAAGATGAAGAAAAACTTTTTTAATTATAGGGATGAGGAAAAGAAAATAGCCATTAGAATGGGAAAGCTGGGAGTACATTTTATAAAGTGGGAGCAACTTAGTCTTAATTAAGATTAATTTTCCTCTCCATCGTGAGCTTGTTAGTCTGGTTTACTTACTTATTTAGTATATTTCTTGAGTTCAGCATGTTAGCAGAGACATCCACTGAGTGAGTAGTATGTGTGTCTGTGTGGGTGTGCTTGTGTGAGGGAGGGGGGCAGGGAGGAGCAGGACTTTGTACCAGTAAAATAACTTCAGATTTTTTTATTTTTTTTAAATATAAGTGAATAACATGTTCAATTGACTTATAAATTGTGTTTTTGTACTTCAAAGGTATAGACCAGTTTTCGGAAACGTCCCCCCCCCCCCCTCTCAAAAAATGAAATGGAAGCTGTTATTAACAATCATGTGAAAGAATATGTTTTGACTAATACGTGATGATACAAATTTTGCCCGGACACCGCCTACTAATTGATATATTTGGTAAATTAGCATATCTATCCAGACTGGATAGACATCGCGTGGTCCCTTTCTGTGTACAGTGTTGGTAACTTTACCAAGACTGGGCCAAATTTCTTATCATTTTAATGATTCCAGAACCTTGCAGTACACACCATTACTTATATGCTAGATGAACAACCCTTTCTGATCGATTCCACAACGTTTCTTTCACAATGCAATCGCGTGACAAGAACTGGTTTATACCTTTAAGTTTACCTTGTTGCTCAGTTATATACTGCAAATGAGTTTGGATTTAATTATGTTTATGTATAAGCGATTAATATTCAAAGAGTTTATTTATTTTATTAAATTGTATGTTGTTCTTGTTTTCGTTACATTTGGAGCAATAAAACAAAATTAATATTTTTAAAAGGTGTATGTGTGTGTGTGTGCGTGTATGTGCGTGTGTGTGTGTGAGCGTGGTGTGTGTGTGTGTATGTGCGCGTGTGTGTGTAGGCGTTTGGGTAGGAGGCGGGGTTGTACATGCAAAAATTGTGAATAACACAGGCAAAACAAACAGATCTGGACTTCAGATAGCACAAGTCCAAAAAAAAACCTCTTTTACTATTACTTAATTTATTTAACGGCTGCCAATATTCAAGAAAAGTTTTATTTGTATTATACTCTTTTCACAGTTGTTGAAGTTTCCTGATTTTTACTCTCCATAAGACAAAAACAAACCAAAATAACACAATTCTGTTCCCTTTCCCTTTCTCATTCTCTCTCTCTCTCTCTCTCTCTATTTTATACAAACATTGTGTATTCCCTCTTGCTACTCCTCCCTTCTTCAACACTTCTCTTACCTCTCTACTTTAACCCCTTCATTCTTGTTTTCTCACTTTATTCACCCATCTCTCCTCATACCTAGTTCCCTACTCCTGTCACACTTTCTTGTTCTCCTTTTCTGATGATTCAACAAAATGTATCAAACCTCTACGCATTCTAAATTGTTATTGTTTGATGCCAAGCTTTATGAAACTTGACCCTGGTTTCCTTTCTTTGTCCATTAATGTGAGCATTTAAAGAAAACGCGAGAACCTAAAGATATAAGATAGAAAGTGATGAGAATTTCGAGTACCCGACAATTAGCAATAGGCTCTTGTCTTTACAAAACGAACTTACGAAAGATAATTATGAAGTGAGAGGGATTTTCCTCTTACATCCAGGGATTTTTTTTTGTATAAATTAATTCTAGTCAAGCTATAACTACTGCCCGCTTAAAATTCTTCATGGCATTAGTCTGTGCTAGATATTTCAATTTCTCCTTGAACGGATATCTGCTCTTTATACATGTATTATATCAGGCTGATGGGAATGTTCGAAACATCGAACCCCCGCCACTCCACCCCCTAGTTACATGTACGTAAATAACTCTGTTACTATTATCTAATTTATTTAACTGCTGTCAATATTCAAGTAAAATTTCTTCAGACTCTTATACCACATTTCTCTCTTCTGTTTCTCCCTGATCCCTCTCTCTCTCTCGAAATGATATATATATATACATATATATTTATATATAAAAATATACACTGTATCTCCCCATCCTGCTACTCCTCCTTTCTTCAACACCTGTCTTACCTTTCTACTTTAATCCCTTCATTCTTGTTTTCTCATTTTCTTCACCCATCTCTCTTTATACCTATTTCTCGATCTACTCCTTTCACATTTTCTCTTTCTCTTTTTCTGATTTATCAACAAAATATATAATATGAGTTTATCAAACTCAAGACCTACGCATTCTAAATTGTTTTTAAATTGATGAAAAGCTTTATGAAACTGGAGCCTGGATCCCGTTCTTTGTCTACTAATGTGAACACTTGAAGAAAACTCGAGAACCTGAAGATAATGAGATAGAAAGTGAGAGAGTAATTACGAGTACCTGAAGATAATCAGATAGAGAGTGGGAGAGTAATTACGAGTACCTGAAGATAATCAGATAGAGAGTGGGAGAGTAATTACGAGTATCTGAAA